AAAAGCATGAAAAACGCCTCTCTCCTTTCAACCAGAGTTCATGGCCTTCGCAGTTTTCCCTTCACATCAATGCGAGCAGCGACGACACCTGGGTCAGCATTGTGGTGCACCTCCCCAAATATCAAACAGTATTCTGGGGAAGGTCGAACGGGTCAACGTGCATCGCCAACTGCAAGATCACGTGTGGGTCAAAATTGCATGTCTCCACGATTGGAGCTGCGTGCCTCAACGCACCCTGTTTTGTGGAGTGCGCCGTGGCATTCCAAGGAGCCAGAGGTCGCTCCACGTGAGCAGTCGTCAGATTCGTAAGCTTTCGTTGCGTCGAAGTGTCCTGCATAACGTTATAGTGTCGAACGCGTCCTGCCCTCGTATCCTCACAAACCGCAAAGCTCGGCGGGAGTCCGCCCTCGCCGTCATTGACGCCACGGACCAATCCAAAATTATGCTCCCGTCCGGCTCCAGCGTGAAATTGTTGGGAGTTAAGGCTGCAATCTCGGAACGACAACTCGCCGTTATCCACGCAGGTCAAAAAACAACACGTTGCTTCCAGTCAGTCCGGCTGTGGATATATCCATCCACCCATTCCCTTGTCAAGGGGCGCGCCTGTTTCCTCTTCAATCGCGCCGCAACCTTTTGTAACCCCAGAATCACCATGTCCAGCGGGGTCCGATCCATTTGCAACACGGACCGCAGCATCCTTGCGTGCCGCACTCTGGACTATGGCGCCGCATCTAATATTGCCGCCAAAAGGGCGCGCAGCCCTCCTCGTTGATCGGCTGTTCGTGCGTGCGGCATAAGGTTGTGAATTGCCCCGCCAGAGGCCTTCTCTGCTACCACACTGACAGCGCACACATTTCGCGAGCCGCCTCGTTCGCTCTCCTCATATAACTGGCCCAAAGCGGGGATTTCGGCGCTTCGTCGTACCACGGTCGAGCGTCGTTAGCGGATAAGCTCCATTGCCCTTCCCGACGATTGCGTCGGATGATTTGAGAGGTCGGGCGGAGTGTCGGCGGGGCGGTGCGACGCCTATGGGTACTGATGGGAGGTGGTGGAATGGATGGGGGCTGCCGTAGTCCGCCGCCCACCAGCAGATCCACCAGCCGTCTGCTTCCCGTCCGCCCACGCCGCACGCACGGCTGCGCCGCCTCTACCCTCTGCGCACTGCCACGGGAGAACACAAGCAGAAAAAGAAAAGGCTGCGTCGTCAACAAGCAGGGGCCATGTACCATTGGCGTTGCCCCACCCACTGGGCACATCAGCGGCGGGTGGAGCGTCACGGCACGCAATCTCCCCACACCGGGAGCCACACCACCGACACTGACAGCGGTCGCACCGTGGGACGCTCCGTTCACAAGAACATCACACACAGACGAAAATACATCTCCAGCGGCTCCAAAACGCAACCACTCACCACGAGTTGAAGGCTCAGGCGTGGAAAAGACGAAACAAGCAACACATACACACAGAACTACAGAAAATGCTGAATCTGTCCACCTCCCAATTGCACAATTAACAGAATTAACAGAATTAACAGAAGAATAATCTTCCGGGCAGCTGAACGGATCCTGAAAATCTAAAGAAACCAAACAAGTTAGGGAAAAAGGGTTCGTTAGTTAGTTGGCTCAATGTTTTCTTTTCATTCAATATATTGAATTCTGTGGACCACCAGCATGGTCTCTTGTCCTCAGTTAGGATTTACATATAATTACTTACGAAGTGGCAGACTTTGGGGTCCTCCAACCACCAGACCCCGCCGCGTGGTGGGAATCAAGGGAGTGGGTGGGATGGCAAAATAAAACAAATATTATCTGGCCTCTATCAGCTCCCTGCCCTTACAAAGTCGCGTTCTTCGCAAAAGATTCATACGGTAGAAAGTATCATAAGGAATGCCTTCACTTATCAGGGTGTACATACATTAATTAAGTTAGCCAGCTCTTCCACGATCGTTCTTTTCACAAGCTCCTATAAAAAAAACACAAACTCACATACATCTTCCATTGACGGCCCGACCCACACACGCACATCCTCTCCACATGCTCCCAGCAAAAGCACACCCGCAGCACAACGCAACGGGCGCCCACTGGCTCTACCACCGCCTCCCGCACGCGGGTCGAGGGCAGGGAGTGGAACGCCCCACAGGGGCACGGGGCGGTCAATGACACATCCCAAGTTGTTCGGCCACAGAGTACATAGGGCACGAATCGGGATCCAGCAAACAATCAAGCAATACATCCGGAGTTAGCGCGCACAGGAACAAACACAAACACGCAAAAAAAATCCTTCTTTTTTTCAATCGCAAATAGGGTATATCGTGTCCTCCGAGATCCGTTCCACACGGGCAACAGGCGATGTGTCGTTACCGAAGCGCGCCATGAGAGCGGCGTAGTCCTCCTCCCGTACGTGATGGGCGCACATCATGCTCGGCACCACCTGCGAGTGTCCCGTCTCATTGCGGGCGTCAAGGAAGTGACAGGGCAGCACCTTGACGTATACCAACGGCTTGTATTTCACCACCCTCTCAAGAAAATACCCGACCATGACATCTTCCCCATGAAACCGGAGCAGTGCAAACTCGTAATCACGTTCCTTGCTGTACGGCAGGTACGCCAGGCGCCGCAACGGCTTGTACGACACCAACGTCTCCGCAACATCCCTCGACAAGGTGTAGCACCAGCCAACCATAAACGTGTAACCTGGCATACCTGTCTTCGGATTAGAAGTAAAACCAATATGGACCCCCATGTAGACCCCTCGGCGCGGCAGAAGGCGCAGGTTACCAACGAATAGCGGCACACGGAGGAATATATCATCATCACCCTTTGTAATGTAACGCGCGGAAGGGAACAGGCGGACCGCAAGGTCAAACCACATGTACGTCTTGCGGGTCATACCGACATCCGCTTCCGCACCCCAAGAGCCGTAGGAACCAATTGTTTTGTTCCTCGTCACACGGCCCTCATTCATTGGCAGCGCAACCACGTCGTGCCACTGCGCCACCTCCTCCAGCATCGCGGCAGAGTAGTCGTAGCCGTGCGACGGGTGCCGCCCAAGGACGTACAGCACGAGCATAGCTCCGGTGAAGTCGTTCGCCCTCGTCGCCACCCCGGGGAACCGCCAGCACGTCGTTCGCTGCAGGTTGCGTCGTGTTCGCCTCTCTTCAACGTCCGTGGAGGGAATGCCCAGCAAAACCAGATACTCCCGCCGGCTCCACGTGTCCACAACACTGCGTGGGATGTAAGCAAGTGCTGCGTCTTCCGCTGCGTCGGCTCGTGAGTGGCGGGGGTTGTTGGGTCCCGCTGCGCCATCATCGGCGGCGGTGTCGAACCTGAGGGTCAGAACAGTCGTGGCCACAATGAAGAGAATCAGCAGCACGGCAAACTGCTTCAGCCTGCGTTTCATCGTTGGCAGTTTCGGCTTCGCCATGGTCGCTTTCGGTGTGAGAGACTAGGAAAAAAGAGGGAGAAGAGAGTGTGGGAGCGGCAGGCGACAATCAGAAACGCCACGGCTACGCGGTGCCACGCACGTAAACAGAGGCACGTCAGCCAACCGACCGCGCCTCCGCCGAGCAAAGGCGGAAAGAGGAAGAGGAAGAGAGGCTGAGGGAAAAAGGGCGAGCGGCGTCAGGGAGACCGTGAGTGATGGGGGCAGGGCCGCCGCGCCGCTTCCTCCCGCCATCGCAGGCCCCTCCGCACCCAAGCACGCACGCTCTGCCGCAGTGGATCGACGATCCGCAACCAGCGCCTTTCTTTTTCTGCTCCTCGTCCTTTCTCACATAAATCCAACGACCCGCCGGCCGGCCACCATCCCAGAGCAGCGCCGCCACGCCGAGTGGAGATGGGAGGAAGAGCCGCGGTCCCCGGAGATGGCGCTGCAGCGGACGGCGTGAAGCACAACCACGTTACGCACCCGCCCCGGGCTAACGCGAGACCTCGGCAGTCGGTTTTCGCCGAGAATCAGCAAAACAGCAACTCAATGAGCCAGGTTATCTTTTCGCCATTTATAGAAAAGGGGATGCACCTGCCACGAGTGTCGACGTTATACCGCATCTGCGAGAGCTTTTGCGCCTTCTCGCCGCGCAGTGGCGCTGTTGGGGGCAGAGCCGCTCAACCTCAAAGAGAAACCACGCCGGCTTCTTGGTGAGGCACGGCCTCCTCACCTCCCAAGCATCCACACCATGTTTTTTTCATGGGTGGCTGCAGAGCAGGTGCGGCGGAGCCGGCGCGGACCCGTCTCTTCGCATGGTTCACGTTGGCCGGTTTTCACGAGGCCCGGCCGATGCCTGTGGCATGCCGTGCGGTGGTGGGTCGGTCCGTAACTGCTGTGGCGCTGAAAGCCGCATGCTGGACGGGGAAATTCGACCGGTGGTGATCCCATCGGTGTGTCGTCGCCGGGAAACGTGCGCCTTCTCGGCGGTATCACTCCTCTGCCGTCCTGGAATCCGAGACACTGGGACGCTGATGAATGGATGTGTGCGTGCCATTTTGGGCGAACGGCGCGCTGTTCCTCGGCGGCGTTCTGCGCGGAGGAGGCGGCCGCCCTCGGAAGCAAAGTATTCGGGCAGGTTTGGTCTTACTCCCGCTGTCTTTCAAGCCTTACGGCGCGTGTGTATTGAACTTCCATTCTTAGCGCCGTGACATTCTTACCGTCGGGGTGCTTGTGCCGGGTGTGGGGGCCCGATCCCCCGGCATTTCCCGCCTGCCTGGCACAGTAAGGGCGTTCATGATGTGCTGTGGTCCCTGGTGCCGACTGTGGCCCTGTTTCGGAAAG